AAGTGTACTACGCGAGCCTGGCGACGCTGCTGTAGCTCACGCAGGAGGAAGTACCGCAGCTGGATGTGCTTCGCTCTGCCCTCGAGTCGAGGCTCCTGACACAGGAGGATCATGGCCCTGTTGTCAGCGTACAGGACCGGGGCAGAGCTAGGCCGCTCACCTAAGTCAGTGAGCAAGAAGGTCAGCCAGCGGAGCTCCTGTGCCGCCATGGCACCGGCGTAGATCTCGGCCTCACAGCTGGACTGGGCAACAGACGAAGAGCGGGTAGCTCTCCACGAGACAGCACCTGAGCCAAGGCTAAAGCAGTAGCCCTGGGAAGACCTGAGCGTCTCCGCGTCGTCTGCCCAAGAAGCGTCTGTGTGTCCAGTAAGGACCACTGGCCTGCGTCCGCCTAGCACTAACCCCATGCCCGATGTACTTGCAAGATAACGCAAAACCCTCTTAGCAGCAGACCAGTGCTGAGGTCGGTGTCTGCCTGTGGCCACGAACCGAGCCAGGATGCTGAGAGGGTATGCGAGATCTGGGCGAGTGCAAGTCATAAGGTACATGAGGCAACCCACTAGCTCAGCGTAAGGACCACTGGGATCTACCGACTCCTCAGGAACTGGAGCGGAGAGTCTGTGGTCCAGAGGAAGAGGGGTGGGCTGTGCGGAGGAGAACTGAAGGCCGAACCTCTGAAGGACCTGGCGCACCAAGTGTGACTGAGTCAGGGTGATGGTGCGCGCGGCTCTGTCCCTGGAGATCTGCAAGCCAAGGTAACGGCGCAGCTCTCCAAGGTCAGTGCAGGTGTGTCTCTTCAGCAGCTCTGCCTTCACGGAGGCCAGTGCGTCCCTGTCAGCAGTGGCAAAGACCAGGTCGTCTACGTAGACAAGGATGTAGAACGGAGTCGAGCCAGCACGAACGAAGAGCGAGGGGTCTGCAGAGGACGGAAAGAACTGCAGGTCAGCAAGGGTAGCACGCAAAGTGTCGTGCCACTCACGAGGCGCCTGGCGCAGGCCGTAGACTGGCCGCCGCAGAAGCCACTGGGTCCCAGGGGGGAAGGTGCCAGTAAAGCCCTGAGGGCGACGCAGGTAGACCTGCTCGTGAAGGCTGCCCTGAAGAAAGGCAGTGGAGAAGTCGAGGGAGTGAAGCTCGTAGTCACGCTGAGCCGCTACGTGTAGCAGAACCCGAAGAGTAGTCATCTTCGGGGTAGGAGCGAAAGTCTGAAAGAAGTCCACCCCCTCGCGCTGACTGAAGCCTCTAGCCACGTAGCGCGCCTTGAACACAGGCGGCTCTCCAGGAGGGCGCTTCACCTTGAAGAGCCAGCGGCCATCGACCACGTTCACCCCAGGTGGGGGAACTGCGTCGACGAAGGTGCCGGTGGATCTCCAAGATGCCATCTCCTGCTCCATGGCAGCTATCCACTGAGAGGCCCAGGGTCCCGAAACCGCCTCAGCGTAAGTACGAGGGGTCGGGATGTCGAAAGCGTCTGGGTCACCCTCAGGGACTAGCAGCATGGAACAGAGATGGGGAGCAGCCTCGGACAGGAAAGCAAGCTCAAACTGGCGGTCCTCTAGGACGTCACTGCCGAGGGCAGGAGCACCCCCGACAGACGGAGGACAGGCAGGGTCAGAGACCAGAGCGGTGGCGTAGTCAAGGCAGCGGGTAGAGGCGAAGTCAGCGACCGCAGCGACGAGGGCGTCAAGACTCGACACTGGAACAGACGGGTCGGTAACAAGAGAGGCAAGGACCCGAGGAACAAGAGGACGAGCGGCACGAAAGTAGTCGGACAGAGGAGGAGACGCAACGACAAGAGAAGACGGAGGAGGAGACGGGAGGAGGGGAGGACGAGACGGGTGGGAACGGAGCAACATAGGGTGAGAGCGCGGGACAGGGGAGACAGGACGAGCACGAGCGGGGCGGCGAGACCAGACGTGGGAGGGCGGCGTCGGGTCAGGAGACAGAGGAGGGGACACAGGAGGGGAACGAGGGGGAAGACGAGCCGGGGACGAGTCTGGCAGAGGGAACACGGGGCCGTAGACGGGAAGAGGGGGAGACGGCAGGAGAGGAACAGGCGCAGTGTCAGGAGACGGGAGGCCGAGCAGACGGAGGGCGGTCACAGGCGGGGACTGCTGCTGCGGCGACACAACACCAACACCAGGGCCACAAGCGGCGCGACGGCTACCTCCCGAACCCTCCAAACCTGCACCCCCAGAAGGGACACCCCCAGAGTCCACAAACGGCGGCAGGGACGACAGCGGCGGCGGCGGCGGCGGCTGCAGCGACGGCGGCAACGGCGGCGGCGGTGGAGACGACGGCTGCAGCAGGTGCGGCGACGGCGGCTGCGGAGGCGGGGGAGGAGGAGACACCGGGGGAGGGACAGACGGCGAGGACTGCGCCGGAGGACTACCAGAGTCAGAAGACTCGTCGACCGGGACGACCGACGGGAGGGGGGTGACGTGAGACACACCAGAGGGGGCCGGACGGGGGGGCGGGGGGGGGGGGGGAGGGGCAGGGACCACCGGGGAAGGAGGGACCAGGAACAGGGGGGGAGATTTACTCTTAAAAGTATCGCATGAAGATCAACCCAGCGGGTATCTGCCATTGACATGGTTATAAAGAACGTTGGCCTACCGATTTGACGCAAAAGTGCAAAAAGATCGCGCTTGCAATTGTCTCTGTATTGTTGTGTTGAACGGATGACCTTAAAATCATTATATAAGGTATCGTTTTGTTGAAGCGTGAAACGCTTATTTTCGTTCAACATATCTGTCGCGGTAAATGCTTCTAGATTCCTAATTTTGTCTTGTCGTACACGCGTGGCAACCACATTTTGCACCTGTAATATCTCTTTTTTTATACATTTTGAAAAAAATGTTGGATATATTTGATGAGCATCGCCCATTTCTATGCTTTAGTTCCCACTTTGCAATATCCGAATACGATACATGCAAGTCTGTTGCTGCACGCACTCTATGATTACCACCATAGATTATTGGGAAACTCAATTCTTCGACATCTTTATCTAATATTATGGACAATGGTTTTGATTGCTCTCCTGGTGCCATTTGCACTAAGCTCTGTGATGGATGCTGATAAAAAGGCTCTTGCGTAATAAGAGTGTCGAGTACACCAACGTTTACGCTATTCGTATCGTTGCTATCACTTGACTCTCTTGATGAAGAATCGCTTTCGGCATTGGCTGAATTCGCATTGTCCATACGTGGTTTGCTGTGTATAGTGTTTAACCGGTTCAAATTAATTTTGTTTAAGACAATTTTGTTGTCAGTAAAAAGTTGTTGTCTACAAAGGAAGTTTATCGCTTTCAAGATTTTAGCAGGCCTCACGTTTTCCTCAAATGCGCTATGTTTGTACTCCATCTTGCGTTTCAATCTGACCGTAACGGTATGTGTATTATCGAGCAACCTCGGTAATGAGGATACCATCTGGTTAACTTCAACTGGAATGTTGATAACTCCGCCTCGTATACCGTACTGTTTTCCAATGGACAATGAACGTATATTCATAAATGGTATGCGCGGACTTATTAAACGCTCTTCTAGCGTTGTAAGGTTTTTGAGTTCAACGGGTTGAGACAGAAAGCCTACTTTATTTAACGTAAAAAATGGCGGATCCTTTCCTTTCCTAATGTAACGTGCACAACTTTGACACACGATTTGTTCCGCATTTCCGTGCTTCGCCTTTGCCACGTTTTGTTGAAAACACATTGTTCCACATGATGGGCATGAAAAATCGGGTCCATCTTTGCATTTCTGCAAAAACTTCTCCGTATACTGATCCTTGTTTTGTTTTACCGGTACTGCTTCAATGAAATCGTCCTTGAAAATATCGTCGAGCTCTAGATGCGCGATAAGGCCACCGCTATCATCTAGAACCCCGTTTGTTAGATCAAGTATATATTTTTTATGTTCACGAAGTTTGCTACAAATGAAATATGTTCTCGCCAATGCGGCATCTATGTCGTGCGCAAAACCTGAATGCGTATAACGTTTGCCATTACAATTCACCAAAAAATTAAAACCCTTTGCTGTACGTCTTACACCTATAAAGTGCGTGCCTCGTGGTTTATGATGCTCCACTAATTTCCTACAAAGACATAACATGGTCATCGAATTATGTGAATCTTTCTTCTTATATTGGTGAGGTCCATTGTTAACATTTGGTGTAGCACAGATTGGTTGCGTGTGATGACAAGTGCGACTGCTAGCGATGGTAGTTTCTACGTCATCTTGATGATCTCGCCTTTTATTGCACGAACTACTTGTTCCCTGCTTACTGTTATCTACGTTATCTTTTACTTCCTTTAGGCTATTACCCACACCACGAGAATTACTGTCATTATTAGCTCGTGCTATAGTAGCTGTCTCAGGTTCAACTGACGCGTATCTGGAGCCATATAAACTTCCATTGTTTGAAGGGAGTAGAAGAGAATAATGGCTCGCATCGACATCAAATTCAAATGAAGTACGCCATGAAATGTGGTAGGGTTGCGCGCCCGAAAACATGCCCAAAAATGGGTTTTTCTTACCCAAACAATGACCGTCACGTTGAAAACAACTGAAAACGCCTTCACCTCATTGATAGATCCCCATTCACCAGATTTAGAGGCGTGTGTGTAATAATCGAGACCTGATAAAAACGGTCTATCGAATGCGCTTCTTGCGACGAGCCAGTACTCGAATTCTGGATTTCTCCAGTTCGCAACCACATGTCTCAATAGCCTATCTTTGACCTCCTCATACCTTTCTTGCGTGTTATGCAACCATTTTGACAAGGCTCAATATAGGCAATTTCCATCACCAATAATGTGTATCAGCTCGAGCCGATACACCTTCTCAAACTCACCGACTAGCGTTCCGCCGGTGATGATCATCGGAGAAGATGAACATGTTGAAGCCATGGGAAAAATCTAACTCTGTAGAATGTTCACGCAAACAAACATTGCTAGATGTGAATCATTTACTATATAGATTAAGTTTGCAAACACATTGGTCGTATAAGTACCGCAATAAAAGTAACTTGTCTACACTTCAAAACACAGGAATAGAGAGAGAGAGAGAGAGAGAGAGAGAGAGAGAGAGAGAGAGAGAGAGAGAGAGAGAGAGAGAGAGAGAGAGAGAGAGAGAGAGAGGGAGAGAGGGAGAGAGAGAGAGAGAGAGAGAGAGAGAGAGAGAGAGAGAGAGAGAGAGAGAGAGAGGAGAGAGAGAGAGAGAGAGAGAGAGAGAGAGAGGAGAGAGAGAGGGAGAGAGCAAGAGAGAGAGAGAGAGAGAGAGAGATAGAGACATTGAGAGAGATATAGAGAGAGATAGGGAGTAACGTGAGAGTGAAGAAGAGGTATTTGTATTGAGAGAGAGGAAAAAAGGGAGAAACCGAGAGAGCGAAAGAGAGAGGGACATTTTGAGAGAGAAGTTGAGAAGAGGAACGAGAGGGGTGAAAGCTGGAAGGAAGGAAATGATACGTACGTAGAAGTTGCAAGGCACAAGCCGTGTTGCAGTGGCGTTTTGTAGATTCGGACGAATAAGGACTGCGGGGGAAAAGTGATCGAAGGGTTGAGTGTGAGAGTGAAAGAGAGAGAGAAAGAGAGAGAGAGAGAGAGAGAGAGAGAGAGAGAGAGAGAGAGAGAGAGAGAGAGAGAGAGAGAGAGAGAGAGAGAGAGAGAGAGAGAGAGAGAGAGAGAGAGAGAGAGAGAGAGAGAGAGAGAGAGAGAGAGAGAGAGAGAGAGAGACATAGAGACATTGAGAGAGATATAGAGAGAGATAGGGAGTAACGTGAGAGTGAAGAAGAGGTATTTGTATTGAGAGAGGAAAAAAGGGAGAAACCGAGAGAGCGAAAGCGAGAGGCACATTTTGAGAGAGAAGTTGAGAAGAGGAACGAAAGGGGTGAAAGCTGGAAGGAAGGAAATGATACGTACGTAGAAGTTGCAAGGCACAAGCCGTGTTGCAGTGGCGTTTTGTAGATTCGGACGAATAAGGACTGCGGGGGAAAAGTGATCGAAGGGTTGAGTGTGAGAGTGAAAGAGAGAGAGAACGAGAGAGAGAGAGAGAGAGAGAGAGAGAGAGAGAGAGAGAGAGAGAGAGAGAGAGAGAGAGAGAGAGAGAGAGAGAGAGAGAGAGAGAGAGAGAGGGAGAGAGAGCGAGAGAGAGAGAGAGAGAGAGAGAGAGAGAGAGAGAGAGAGGGAGAGAGAGAGAGAGAGAGAGAGACGAAAGAAAGGGAGTGATATTGAGAGGAGAAAATAATAGAGGGAGACGGAGAACAAGATATGCGGAGACATTTCAAAGCAACCACACTGATGCTGTGATGACGAGCACAAATTATTCCTTGGAAATATGAAATGCTTGAATGCGAGATTTGTGAAAGGAGTGACACATCTTATGACAACTTTTTTGTGCACCTAAATTAGGCAAAGTACCAAACCAAAGGTTACACATAACCACAACACCCTGCTGCTATTTTCATGATGAACAATATGCCATGGTTCATAAATACAATAAAGACAATTTCACCAACAAGCACATTTCGCCTCGTGAACACCTTCCTTTAGGTATACCCAAATCACAATTGATTCTAAAAACTACCATTAATTTTATTATGGATTAACAATTACGTACACGAGCGCTCACACGAAACGTCACCCAAAACGAATCTTCGAATTATGGACTATCTGCAAAATCCAACAAGCATAGGCATAACAGGAAGAGCAAATAGCGTGCACATAGACAGGAAACACGAATTTATACAAAAATCTGCAACCGTAGAAGATTATTTCGGATGGGGAACAGCGAAGGGTGAGAAACGGAGGGGGGGCAGCAAAGGGGGAGAAACGGATGGGGGACAGCAAAGGGGGAGGAACGGAGGGGGGACAGCAAAGGGGGAGGAACGGTGGGGGGACAGCAAAGGGGGAGGAACGGAGGGGGGACAGCAAAGGGGGAGAAACGGATGGGGGACAGCAAAGGGGGAGGAACCGAGGGGGGACAGCAAAGGGCGAGGAACGGAGGGGGGACAGCAAAGGGGGAGGAACGGACGGGGGACAGCAAAGGGGGAGGAACGGAGGGGGGACAGCAAAGGGGGAGGAACGGAGGGGGGACAGCAAAGGGGAAGGAACGGAGGGGGGACAGCAAAGGGGGAGGAACGGTGGGGGGACAGCAAAGGGGAGGAACAGAGGGGGGACAACAAAGGGGAGAAACGGATGGGGGACAGGAAAAGGGGGAGACGGATGGGACAGCAAGGGGAGAAACGGATGGGGGACAGCAAAGGGGGAGAAACGGAGGGGGGACAGCATAAGGGGAGGAACGGAGGGGGGACAGCAAAGGGCGAGGAACGGAGGGGGGACAGCAAAGGGGGAGAAACGGATGGGGGACAGCAAAGGGGGAGGAATGGAGGGGGGACAGCAAAGGGGGAGAAACGGAGGGGGGACAGCAAAGGGGGAGAAACGGAGGGGGGACAGCAAAAGGGGAGGAACAGAGGGGGGACAGCAAAGGGCGAGGAACGGAGAAGGGACAGCAAAGGGGGAGGAACGGAGGGGGGACACCAAAGGGCGAGGAACGGAAGGCGGACAGCAAAGGGGGAGGAACGGAGGGGGGACAGCAAAGGGGGAGGAACGGAGGGGGGACACAAAAGGGCGAGGAACGGAAGGCGGACAGCAAAGGGGGAGGAACGGAGGGGGGACAGCAAAGGGGGAGGAACGGAGGGGGGACAGCAAAGGGTGACAAACGGAGGGGGGACAGCAAAGGGGGAGGAACGGATGGGGGACAGCAAAAGGGGAGGAACGGAGGGGGACAGCAAAAGGGAGGAACGGAGGGAGGACAGCAAAAGGGAGGAATGGAGGGGGGACAGCAAAGGGAGAGAAACGGATGGGGGACAGGAAAGGGGGAGAAACGGATGGGGGACAGCAAAGGGGGAGAAACGGATGGGGGACAGCAAAGGGGGAGGAACGGAGGGGAGAACAGCAAAGGGCGACGAACGGAGGGGGACAGCAAAGGGGGAGAGACGGATGCGGGACAGCAAAGGGGGAGGAACGGAGGGGGGACAGCAAAGGGAGAGGAACGGATGGGGGACAGGAAAGGGGGAGAAACGGATGGGGGACAGCAAAGGGGAGAAACGGATGGGGGACAGCAAAGGGGGAGGAACGGAGGGGAGACAGCAAAGGGCGACGAACGGAGGGGGGACAGCAAAGGGGGAGAGTCGGATGCGGGACAGCAAAGGGGGAGGAACGGAGGGGGGACAGCAAAGGGAGAGGAACGGATGGGGAACAGCAAAGGGGGAGGAACGGAGGGGGGACAGCAAAGGGGGAGGAACGGAGGGGGGACAGCAAGGGGGAGGAACGGAGGGGAGACAGCAAAGGGGGAGGAACGGAGGGGGGACAGCAAAGGGGGAGAAACGGAGGGGGACAGCAAAGGGGGAAGAACGGAAGGGGGGACAGCAAAGGGGGAGGAACCGAGGGGGGACAGCAAAGGGCGAGGAACGGAGGGGGGACAGCAAAGGGGGAGGAACGAGGGGGGACAGCAAAGGGGGAGGAACGGAGGGGGGACAGCAAAGGGGGAGGAACGGACGGGGGACAGCAAAGGGGGAGGAACGGAGGGGGGACAGCAAAGGGGGAGAGACGGATGCGGGACAGCAAAGGGGGAGGAACGGAGGGGGGATAGCAAAGGGAGAGGAACGGATGGGGGACAGCAAAGGGGGAGGAACGGAGGGGGGACAGCAAAGGGGGAGGAACGGAGGGGGACAGCAAAGGGGGAGGAACGGAGGGGAGACAGCAAAGGGGGAGGAACGGAGGGGGGACAGCAAAGGGGGAGAACGGATGGGGGACAGCAAAGGGGGAAGAACGGAAGGGGGGACAGCAAAGGGGGAGGAACCGAGGGGGGACAGCAAAGGGCGAGGAACGGAGGGGGGACAGCAAAGGGGGAGGAACGGAAGGGGGACAGCAAAGGGGGAGGAACGGAGGGGGGACAGCAAAGGGGGAGGAACGGAGGGGAGACAGCAAAGGGGGGAGGAACGGAGGGGGGACAGCAAAGGGGGAGGAAGGAGGGGGACAGCAAAGGGCGAGGAACGGAGGGGGGACAGCAAAGGGGGGGAGACGGATGGGGGACAGCAAAGGGGGAGGAACGGAGAGGGGACAGCAAAAGGGGAGGAACGGAGGGGGGACAGCAAAGGGCGAGGAACGGAGGGGGGGCAGCACAGGGGGAGAAACGGATGGGGGACAGCAAACGGGGAGGAACGCAGGGGGGGACAGCAAAGGGGGAGAAACGGATGGGGGACAGCAAAGGGGGAGGAACAAAGGGGGGACACCAAAGGGCGAGGAACGGAGGGGGCAGCAAAGGGGGAGGAACGGAGGGGGACAGCAAAGGGGGAGAAACGGAGGGGGGACAGCAAAGGGCGACGAACGGAGGGAGGACAGCAAAGGGGGAGAAACGGATGGGGGACAGCAAAGGGGGAGGAACGGAGGGGGGACAGCAAAGGGGGAGGAACCGAGGGGGGACAGCAAAGGGCGAGGAACATGGGGGGACAGCAAAGGGGGAGGAACCGAGGGGGGACAGCTAAGGGGGAGGAACGGAGGGGGGACAGCAAAGGGCGAGGAACGGAGGGGGGACAGCAAAGGGGGAGAGACGGATGGGGGACAGCAAAGGGGGAGGAACGGAGAGGGGACAGCAAAAGGGGAGGAACGGAGGGGGGACAGCAAAGGGCGAGGAACGGAGGGGGGACAGCAAAGGGGGAGGAACGGAGGGGGGACAGCAAAGGGGGAGGAACGGTGGGGGGGACAGCAAAGGGGGAGGAACGGAGGGGGGACAGCAAAGGGGGAAGAACGTAGGGGTGACAGCAAAGGGGGAGGAACGGAGGGGGGACAGCAAAGGGGGAGGAACGGAGGGGGGACAGCAAAGGGGGAGGAACGGAGGGGAGACAGCAAAGGGGGAGGAACGGAGGGGGGACAGCAAAGGGGGAGGAACGGAGGGGGGACAGCAAAGGGCGAGGAACGGATGGGGGACAGCAAAGGGGGAGAGACGGATGGGGACAGCAAAGGGGAGGAACGGAGAGGGGACAGCAAAGGGGGAGGAACGAGGGGGGACGGCCAAGGGGGAGGGACGGAGGGGGGACAGCAAAGGGGGAGGAACGGAGGGGGGACGACTAAGTGGGAGGGGCGGAGTGGGGATGAGAAAAGGGGGGAAACGGAGGGAGGACGACAAAGCGAGGAGGAACGAGGGGGGACGGCAAAGGGGGAGGAACGGAGGGGGGACGACAAAGGGGGAGGAACGGAGGGGGGACGGCAAAGGGGGAGGAACGGAGGGGGAGACAAAGGGGGAGGAACGGAGGGGGGACGGCAAAGGGGGAGGGACGGAGGGGGGATGACTAAAGGGGAGGGGCGGAGGGGGGATAAGAAAGGGGGAGAACGGAGAGGGGACGATAAAGGGGGAGGAACGGAGGTGGAACAGCCAAGAGGGAGGAACGAGGGGGGACGGCCAAGGGGAGAGACGGAGGGGGGACAGCAAAGGGGGAGGAACGGAGGGGGACGACTAAGGGGGAGGGCGGAGTGGGGATGAGAAAAGGGGGGAAACGGAGGGAGGACGACAAAGCGAGGAGGAACGGAGGGGGACGGCAAAGGGCGGGGAACGGAGGGGGGACGACAAAGGGGGAGGAACGGAGGGGGGACGGCAAAGAGGGAGGAACGGAGGGGGGACGACAAAGGGGAGGAACGGAGGGGGGACGGCAAAGGGGGGCGAACGGAGGGAGGACGACAAAGCGAGGAGGAACGGAGGGGGGACGCAAAGGGCGGGGAACGGAGGGGGGACGACAAAGGGGGAGGAACAGAGGGGGGACGGCAAAGAGGGAGGAACGGAGGGGGGACGACAAAGGGGGAGGAACGGAGGGGGGACGGCAAAGGGGGAGGGTCGGAGGGGGGACGACAAGGGGGAGCGGCGGAGGGTGGACGACGAGGGGGGTGGAACGGAGGGGGGACGACAAACGGGGAGGGATGGAGGGGGGACGACTGAGGGGGGAGGGGCGGAGTGGGGACGACAAAAGGGGGAGGAGCGGAGAGGGGACGACCAAGGGGGGGGGAACGGAGTGGGCACGACAAAGGGGAAGGAAAGGAGGGGTGACGGCCAAGGGGGGCGAACGGAGGGGGGACGACAAAGGGGGAGGAACGGAGGTGGGACGACAAAGGGGGAGGAACGCAGGGGGGACAGCAAAGGCGGAAGGAACAGAGGGGGGACAGCAAAGGGGGAGGAACGGAGGGGGGACAGCAAAGGGGGAGGAGCGGAGGAGGGACGACAAAGGGGGAGGAACGGAGGGGGGACGGCAAGGGGGAGGGTCGGAGGGGGGACGACAGAGGGGGAGCGGCGGAGGGGGGACGACGAGGGGGGGGGGAAACGGAGGGGGGACGGCCAAGGAGGAGGAACGGAGGGGGACGGCCAAGGGGAGGAACGGAAGGGGACGACAAACGGGGAGGGAGGGAGGGGTGACGACTGAGGGGGAGGGGCGGAGGGGGGACGACAAAGGGGAGGGGCGGAGAGGGACGACCAAGGGGGGGAACGGAGTGGGGACGACAAAGGGGAAGGAAAGGCGGGGGACGGCCAAGGGGGGGAACGGAGGGGGGACGACAAAGGGGGAGGAAAGGAGGGGGACGACGAATCCTCGCCAGCGCCAGCGCCGGTGCTAGCGCCTATTCGCCAGTGCCAGTATCAGCGCCAGCGCCAGCACCAGCGCCAAATCGCTAGCGCCAGCGCCGAATCGCCAGCGCCAAAATTTCAGCGCCGAAACGCCAGTGCCAGCGCTAGCGCCAGCGCCAGCGCCAGCGCCAGCGCCAGCGCCAAAGCGCCAGCGCCAGCGACAGCGCCAAAGCGCCAGCGCCAGCGCCAAAACGCCAGCGCCCGGCGCCAAATCGCCAGCGCCAGTGCGACCAGCGCCAGCACTAGCGCCAAATGCTTAGCGCTAGAGCCAGCGCCAGCGCCAGCGCCAGCTCTAAGGAAACGCGCCTAGCGGTTCTACACTTACCAGGTAAATAAGCTGATGGAAGCTTGAAAGTCTGGAAAGCTTGTGAGAAGGAATGTGAGGAAAGTTGAAAAGCCAGCTGAGATGAATGAATGTCTGAACGAGAAACGCACGAGGAGCAGGAAACAAAAAAACGCGTCGGGAGGAGGAAGGGAGAAACGCACAGGAACGACGAAGCAAGAAACGTAAACCCCATCCCGATGCGCGTTTTGTTGTTTGTACTGTACAGAGCACGAGGTACTGTAGTCAGGTTTTTCAGGTACTGTAGTTGCCGGTTTCGACTTCAAGCTGGTACAAGCTTGTGACACCACATGCGATACTTGAGGAACCTCAGCCCGTAATGATTAGGCTTCAGAATGTTTCGTCAATAATTCATTGAACAGGAACAAGCAGGTTTCTTGCGTAGTTTCGGCTTCGTCACGTGCTTGGATGCCAAATCCAGCGTGTTACAGCCTAATGCTATAATGATGAGGCTACAGAAGAATGTCAAAATCATTATATGAATATAAGCATGATATCATTACATGTGTATAATTAAATTAATTTAATTACTATATAAATATATTCATGTCAATATAATACATACGTCAAAATTATCATTATGCGAAAACCAGTATGTGAATATCATTAGATTAATATCCATATTATATCACTATATGTGTATATTTATATTAATAATCCCTTGATGTGACCTAGACAAAGGTGAATAGCCTGTATTGTGCTCAACGCGCTCATTGTGATACGATATAAATTACATTTGTACATTTTCTCCCATCCAGACCATAAAGAATCATATATACTCTTTGTAGTATCATATATATCATTATTTAAATATAATTATTTATAATATTATTACGAGATAATTTGATTCCCAATCAAATAATTTATTCCTCACAATTTACAAAATTATGAACTTTAATATGAAATGTAAATTTAAATGTCATACCAACTGTATTATTCTTAAGATTCTACATATTGGACATCTATAGACTACGCAACCCTTCCGACGCTTGGGCGTCGAGCCTTGTTTTTTTTTTTTCGTTTGTTAATGTTTGAACAATGTCGCAGCCGATGTGCGGCCTGCAGTGGCCCAATTAGCTTATGACAGAAATGCGCGAGGTCTCAAAATTTGGAATTTTGTGTGCGCGACGTCCAACAATTTTTTGATTTGGGAATACTTTACGTAGTTTTCTCGAACTGCGCCTGGAGTTTGAGAATAATATCGCGCCAGCCACAATGATGACGAAATTGGGCTGGCGCGGGCGGGAAAACGTTCTGAAACGGTCGAGGGTTACTTCTACTGACCATTCGTGGAGTTTTTTTACTGTAGTTTCTGACTAACGGTGGAACCCGACTGATGAAACATGTTGCGAACTCGCTAATTCTGATTGTTTATACCGTGTCACTGACCGTACATGTTATCGAGGCCCCTAATACTGAGCGCTGATGTATTCTCCCAAAAATTAGCCCTGGTCGCCAGCTCACGAGGCACGGAGGGGTTCTTGCGGCAGTGACCACGTTGCTCATTGGAAATGGCGTCCACCAGCATGTCACCCACGCCATGCCGCCATTCGCGCCCACGCCTCCCGAGCTCCATGGCGTCCATTCGAGCGAGTTCCGCAAGATATCAATCACTTCACTACTACGACGACAACGCGATCGCTACGAGTTGTGCAACTCTGCGACCCGCTTCCTGTTCGTATCGTATTGGCTTACGACACGCGTGCTTTCGTATTCCCTTCCCGATCTACTTTGTCGTCCGAAGCCGGCACCACCACCTCGCTAGATCCCTTAGCTTCAGCCGTCTCACCGCCAGCGCTCCTGACCTGTCCATCTGTTCACTTCTCTCTTCCCTCTTTCGACTTCTTCTCCATCCACCGCTGTTTAATAGCGCTACTGCCATCAGCATCTAACCATGGCCGCCTGGCTACTAGCCGCCGCGTCCCGCGCAGCCGGTTCTGCCTGCACCCGCAGATGCGGCTCCATGGCGCTACTCCCCGCACTCGCCGCACAAGGAGGCCCCGCACCGTTCCCCTCGCTGGAACGTTTCAGCAGCAGCCACGTGTTCGAAATTCCCCGCCGTGAAGGCGGGGCGAACCCGTGCAGGCACTACAGCCGCAGCCACAGCGCGGCGGCAGAGTACGGGCATGGCACCCGGCCCACGATCGTCTCGACCTCCTCCGACGGCCTCCGCGTCGCGACGGAAGCGTACGCGGATCCGACCGCGCCCAACACCGCGGCCGTCGGCGTGTGGGTCCACACGGGAAGCCGGTTCGAGAGCGGCGCCCCTCACGGCACGGCGTACTTCCTGGCGAATATGGTGTTCGAGGCATTGCAGAGGCGACTCGCGGAACAGTTGGGGATTGGAGGGGGGAAACATGTGAACGCGTACTGCACGCGCGAGGTCACGGCGTGTATCGCGACGGCGTATGTCGGACATCCCCGCCGCTTTGGGCATTCTAGGCGTCGTTCTGCAAGAGGCGGCGCTATTTAGCGCGGATGCTGTGGATCGCAAACGCAGCTCGATTGTGCGCAGGACTAAGGAGGCACGTGTGCTACGGAGAGTACTGTAGTAGGCTTCGCTGGTAGCGCAGGTAGCCAATATAAAGGTGGTTGTGTACAGTTGCGGCCTTGGTGTGTACCACTCTTACTAGAATGGACAGCAGGGCCTACAGGGGACAACGCAGTATGGAGTTTGATAGAGAGGCAAGGGTCTTTGATGGATTTAGGAACCTTGGGAGAGGGAGTCGCTCTCATCACTGTCGGCCTGTCGCGCTTCCTACGGACCCTTGCCTGTCGTGCTTCTTGCGGACCCTTTTTACTTTTAACCGTGGTATACAAGCACTTAGAAACATCAGTGCCGCTGCAAGACCTTCGGCGTCTCGAACCTACAGTGGCTCGACCCTTTTCCTCAACCACCCCCGTCCCTCTCTCTCCGCCACCCCCCCTTTCCCTCTTCCTCCCTCCCTCTTTCTCCACGCACCCACCATCCTGTCCCTGGTGTAGCGCTCAGCCACGTACTGCTGCAGGATCTGCCCCGTGATGCGCTGCGCGCTCGCGCCCGTGCCCATGGGCCAGCGTGCCAGAGGGTGCTGCGGCGCTCGATCGTTTCCTCCTCTGCGGGATTCTGCCCCTGCACACGCAAGAGACACACGGTGGGGGGAGGCGGAGGCAAGGGGAAGCAAAAATGAAGGTGAGTGAGAAGGGAAGTGGACTATGACACGGTGGTGAATATGGTGGCAACGACCTTCCCCCCCCTGCCTGCCGCTGCTACCCGTTCCTGACTTGCTCGCTCAACAACAACCCTCTAAATTCACAAGTTCGTGGCAGGGTATGCTTTATCTCGTTTTTTGGGTTGCGGAGCAACCTATTGCAATCGATCGGGCTGGTTTTTTTTTCAAGTTTGTGAAATAAAAATCAAATGTTTGTTGTGATGGAAATAAAACATTTTATGTATAATAAAGTCTCATCATGAAATGCTCCGCAACCCTAAGACGATCTCGTCGCCTCTTGTTTTTTTTTTTTTTCCAGTATTGGGGTGTTGTTGCGAGGTAACCCTTTAAAGCTCCAAGGCGGTGCTGTCGAGATGTCTCAGTTTGGTATTATTTCCACGTGTGTGCCACTCTTTCATGTCTGTCCCTTCTTCCCACGCCCTCCACTCCCCCCTGGCCCCTTCGTCTTCCCATTCCCGCAACTTTTAGAAGGACACAAGACCGCTTTCACCTTTCTTCTCAACTCTTCCTCTGTCCCCTTTCTTCACCCTTTCACTCTCTCCCTTTCTTGTGCTCCACCCACTTCCTGGGCCCCTTATCTTTTTTGCTCGCCGTCCCTCCCCTACTCCCTTGCCCTCCTTTTCCTGTACCTCTCCCATCGCCGCTTTAATTCTGTAGTCATTTCAAGAAGTTTCCTCATTCTGTTTCCTCATCCACAGTGACAGCAAGCCACTCGCCCTATGGCTAACTCCAATGCAATCCTCTGACCTTACACACACCCAACACAGCCCCAACATAGAGGCGCCCGTTTTCAGCGAATTTCCCATTCCCGCTTCCTCCCGGTTCCCTCTCCCCTCCCTTTTTCCCCATTTTCCCCCTCCCCTGATCCCCCGTTCCCCCCCTTCCCCCCTTCCCCTGTTTCCCCCCTCCCCTGCCGCCCGGCAGCACATAGAGGACAGCAGCAGGCGCCTGACGAGCGTGGCCATTGCGTGGGAGGCGTGAGCTGGACGCACCCTGACGCCGTGCTGCCCGTGGTGCTGCACAGCATGCTGGGGGCGTGGCGCCAGGACGAGGACCGTCTGGGTTCCGAGTAAGGATCGAACAGGCCAGGACCTGTGTGGGAGGTAGGGGGAGGGGCGACAGGGTCGACGGACTTAGAGGAATGAAATGGCACGCCAGGAGGGCCTGTGGGTGGCAGAGAATGCGGGGGCTCTGTTGGGCACATGCCGGCCGTGCGGCGTAGTGGAGTGTGGAGTAACAGGGCTGGCTGGCTGGTTGCAGGGGCAAGACATGGACAAGGCAGGGCAGTGCTGTGTGGGTGGGATGCGTCAAGTGTGAGAGTGCTTGGGATGTGTGGGAGGTGATGAGGATGTGGCATGGCGTGGTGTGAGCAGGTCGTCCCCAGCTCACTGTGTTGGACCTGTGCTGCAGGGGAACTCACTGCAGGCTTTTCAAGGGTTGTCGCAGGCCTAATGCTTCTGTAACCTGATTGAAATGTTACCTGACTTGGGGATGCCTGCTCTCCCACCCGTGTCTCCCACCCGTGTCTCCCACTCGTGTCTACCACCAGCCGAGCCGGTTTCCACCAGCTGCGGCTGAGGCAGGCCGTGCTGGTTGTGGGGCAAAGGCGGCAATGCCCGTTGATCATCTCACCTGCCATGTCTTGAGCGCCTACGCACAGCTTGTATGGTAGTCCAATGTGACCACCTTTTCCTCTGCATGCCCCTTCCTCCAGATTCGCTTCCAAGTTGTGGAGTGGCAGCTGCTGTGAGCGCTACACGGCCTTCCACACCAGCTATACGCTACACGGGCCTCTTTGGCTTCTATGCGGAAGCCGAGGTATGGTAGGGGTGCTTGTGCAGTTCATGTGAAAGCCAGCTGCTGGGAACATGCGTCTGAAGCACAGTGAGGAGTGGGTGTTTAGTTTGTACTGTTCGTGTTGATGTGAAATGTGGTGAACAGTATCTGAGTGCGTCCCGAAACCTGAAACGAGCTCTTATGACATGAGAGTATCTTGTGTTAAGTCTAAATGACTCGCTAGCCTGTTGTCTGTCTCCACTTTCCGACCTCCTTTCAATGTGCTCACTTGCCCATTGTTGCTCCTCATGCCTCCCTGCCTGCATGCCCCCTGACATGCGTCCGCTTACCTCCGTGCTGTGAAGCCAAGTGAACAACCTGGCAGGCACCTGCCATCATGCATGGGATCATCTCCATTCACCTGATGTTGCCAGCCCATCTCCCCAATTCCATCTATCCTCATGTCTCCAATATCCACATGCACCATATCCGCATGTCCCCATACTCCCTATGTCCGCGTGCAGCATGAGCAGCAGATGGATCTGTCATGGGCCATGAAGAGAGGGATCTTCTGCATCACCCTTGACATTTGCCCTACTCACGCCGACCACGCTCGCAGACGGGTTGGTATCATGCCATGGAGTGTTAGCGTGAAATCAGCGCAGTGTGAGCATGCTGTGTGCTAAGTGTGACGATGAAGCAGCATGAACTTGCGATGCGATCAATCTGCCATTGGCATGACCCTCATGTCATTGCACATCAAGCCTTTCTCATGTCTGCTCTCCCCATCTTTGTGCATCCATTGCATCGCGTTGCCTTTCTCCTCCTTGCTCTCTCGTTGTTTTATTTTATGAATGAAAGCCTTGTGTTTGTCTTTCACATCGCATATCATCCGTCTCTCTTTGGTGTCCCTTCTCTCCTTTTCCTCCTCCCACTCTTCGCGTCCTGCTCTTTACTCGTTCATATCCTGTTTTCTTTTCATGCCCTCATCCTTCCCCCCCTCCAATCTTCTTTGTATCTCCGCAACTCATGTCAAAGACTTCAATACTCATGGGTTAATTGGTAACTCGTGTTTTGGCAGCGTCTCAACATCCCTTGCCTTGCCTTCGCTATTTCCATCCCGCTCCAGCTCAAGCAATCGTTAGTGCAGCACCTGGACAGCTCAACAGCGGTGGCAGATGAAATTGGGCGCCACATGTTGACATACGGTCGGCGCGTGCCCCTTGCAGAAATGATAGCCTGCATCAATGATGTGGATGCGAAGACTCTCAGTCAGCCGGCCCGCAGGCTCTTTCTCAACAAGGTAATGACTGGGGTCATGATGGGTGTGCCTGTGATTCTGTCAACTCCTGTGTGCTGTTCCAGCTGATCAAGAGAGACGAATGGGGTGCCGCCTGATACGTTAGGAAGGTCATGATGGTCTCTTGCAAGTGCTGAAATGGCAGGAATCTAATCATTCGGAGATAGTCATGATGACAGTGGGTATTTTCCACTGCTGTTTGCAAACAGGCCACTGCACCTGTCACCATTCCCTCCCTCCTCGGTCCTCCCCCTCCTCCCCCCCAGCATCCCCCTCACCCCCCCCCCCCCCCCCCCCCCCCCCCCCCACACCCCCCAACCACCCCGCGTCTCTACATGTGCAACCTGCTCAGCCACCCCACTCTCTCCATCTCCTGCCTTTCCCCTCTCCCTCACCTCCGCCAGGACGCAGCGGTGGTAACCATAGGCTAGGCACCACCCACTGGTTCCCATGCTTCAGAGATCTGAGCTTTGAGGGTGTGATTCACATGCAAGCAATGTCTCTGCCATAACAGCTGGGGTGGTTCATGTTATTGGAGTAAACCACGTGTTTAGGGTGGTCAGTGTTGGAAATATCTCAAGGACTTAAGCGTTTCTGAAGTGTAACACCACACTCGAGGAAGATCGTAACGAGTACGCGAGTCAACGGAGGTTACACGAGGGGTTGGACAAAGAACACGAAAGGACTCGAAGGGTCGCAACCGGAGGTTGCGACTGACCGTTACAACTGCAAGAATGGTAACCGAAGCGACAATCGAGTCGCTGTGCGACTTGATAAACCGCCATTCAACTGTATTCTACAACTGCTTGTTTTCTACTTTCTATATATTGCTGTATGCTTGTTCACTTTAATCAATCACTTGTTCTCATATACTAGTACAAGGGTTCAACTACCTCAACTTCCGCTGCACTACTCAAGTCTTTTACAACTGGGACTTAGTCTCTGGAAAGATCCTAAGGGCATTTCTCAGCCCAACATGGTATGAGAGCTGGTCAGAGACCAAACTCCCAGCAACTACGCTCTATCTACAACCTGCAATTCAACGACTTCATTAATTACAAGTCATGGACAGCAAGGGCAAGAAAATCTCTACGGGCTCACCCAGCGCCTAAGACACTCAACCCGACAACTCTGGATTGCACACTTCAGGACTGCAAACCGAGACGAGCGCTGCTCAAGAAACAACAGGAAGAGCACCGGAAATGGTGACCCCATCACCCTCTTCAAGCGTGGATCCGAACCTTATGGAAAGGTTCTTCAGCTTCATGTCGCACTTCGACCAGCAGCAGCAGACAAGGACACCTGCGCATTCAACACAGAGCAACGGAGGAAACATGGGATTAGCGCCGATGAGCCTCGACAACTCATCGTTCGGGCGACACAATCAAGCGCCAACCTTTGCGCCTTATCACTCTTCGTTCGAGTTCATGCCGCCCCGTGCCCAACCAACAGCAGCTGCATCACAACAGACACCAAACGAGATTTTAAGTCTCCAGGCGCAGTTTTCGCACGTGATCAAACTGCAGACATCCTCACCGTTTAACGGACACGACTTTTTTACCTGGAGCTTTGAGTTCGAGCTGCTGATGGAGGCTGCGCATCTCTAAGGATACTTCAACGGGTCCCTGCCATTCCCAAGCAACGGCACTGCAAAAGAGCAAGAAATCTTTTCGTATCAATCGCTGCTGGCGTACACAGTTCTCCTGCGGAACCTGTCACCACAAGAACAGCAAAGCATCATAACATATCGGAGCTATGGAAACTCCACGGAACTCGCATGGCATCACCTCAAGTGTCTCTATCAAGCAAACGACAGCGTGACACAGAGCAGACTCATGCAACAGCTGACAACAATACAGATGAAGACCGGGAAAAAGGCGATGCAGTATATGAGCCGCTGCCAGACACTCCGCGACCGCCTGCTTCGGTGCGGAGGAACAATCACTGAAGAAAGCTTCGTAACGCTTGTCCTCGCCGGACTCGGGCCAGAATGGAGAACCACCCGCTCGCTCCTTCGCGCCCACGGACGAATCTCGGAGATGCACCTCTGCGCCGAGCTCCATGCCGAACAACAGGAGATGGACCTGTTCGAAGAAAGGCAACCAAGGAAACAGCAACCATTAGTCTTCTACACTCAACGAAGGAACGACAACAACTACAACCGACGCGGAAAACAAGATCAACGCGACAACAGAGGACTCACCATTGTGCCGCCGTTCTGCCACAACTGCCAAACATCCGGACACTCCAAAGTCCACTGCACACGTCCCCGAACTTATCGTCCAGTAGACCCACAAGTCGCTTCCACTCAAGAAAGCCCGCCGAGGCGCTCCTCCATATCTGCACAAGGTACACCGAACATCATCAACTGCATGGTACACATCGACAACTGCGCACCCGGATCACCGCCAACTTACGCTCCAGATGAAGAAGAACTGTCACCGCCGCGCTCACAGGGACTTCAGGTCAACCCAACGTACGCTGCAGTCGCCAACTCCGAACCCACCGGACGCAACACTTGGTTCTTGGATAGCTGCTGCGGTCAACACATGTGTTCTTCCGGGCGCTTCGTGCAACGAGAGCGACGCCTCAACCGCGACGTCATCATCACCGTCGCCAACAACGAGAACCTGAAAACAAACAGACAAGGAGTGGTTCAGTTACAGTCCATGGAAACAAATGTCATCCTGCAACTCAACAAGGTTCTAATCGTCGACAACTTAGGATACAATCTGCTAAGCGTCAGCCAACTAATGGCAAAAGGGATTCACCTGGAGTGCGACTCGGACTCCAACGAGTTTCGCCTTTACCACGGGAAGGGTGGCCTCTTCATCGGTCGTGCTCTTCTGAAGTCCGGTGTCTTCGTGTTGGACTTCGTCCCCGACCGCGGTACTGCCGACAGCGATGGCATCGTGTCGTTCGCCGCCTGGACACACCCGCCGGATCTTGACCCCGACTTCACCCCAGATGGATTCTGGTACTCCAACACCATACCTGCAGTAGAGAGAACACGAGCGTTAGCAGTCATCAGACAAGAAAGACAAGTACCAGCACGCGTCCCTTCCCAACCATCACCTGCAGTAGCAGTAGCAGGACCCAGCCGAGTACCACCACCAGCGATCCGAGGACCACCAATCGAAGCAAATCAACTTATGCCTATCACACGAGAAGTCTGCCGAAGTCCCGCCACGGTCGTCGCGTTCTTCTCCAACACCGACATGTACCAACGCTCGCCCGGCCATCGCGCTCCCGACGACATCTGGCACCAACGCCTTGGGCATCCTGCAAACAGCACGATACTCCAAACCATCCAAGCCGAGGTGTTAGAACGAAACGCTCTTCTTACAACGAGCGGCCAAGAACTTCGAAGACCTTGCGCACGGTGCTTCACGTGCCCCGAAGCAGATCTTCCCCATCAACCTTTCCCATCACATCACAATCCAAGTGCACCTGCATATGCACCGATGGAAAAAGTTTACAGCGAAATCTTGAACATGCCTCGAGACGACACTGAAGCCGACTTCAACTATGTCATCACGTTCATCGATGCAGCAACAAGATATGTTTGGCACTACAACCTCAAAACGCGAGACCAAGCCTTCGAAGCCTTCACGACATGGCTCCCCATCGCTGAACGAGAATCAGGAATCAAGCTCAAAAGCTTCCAGTTGGACGGCGCACTGGAATACCAGTCACAACGATTCAGGACCTACTTGGCAGAAAGGGGAATCAGACGCCTGGTGTCCCTGCCCTACGCTCACCAGCAGCAGGGGGTCGCAGAGAGAATGAACCGGACCTTGCGGAAACTCCTCCTGGGGATGAGACTGCCCAACACACTGTGGCCAGACGCGATGACCCATGCAGTCCACCTGCACAATTTGCTATCCTCGTCATCTCTTCCCAACAACGCATCACCGCACCTGCTGTGGACACGAAAAAGGGGCAGCACAAAATTACTTCGGGTTTTCGGCTGCATGGTACAGTACAGACCCCACACAGCCAGAGCAGGACACATCACTCAGCGAGCACGATGGGGACTACACCTCGGCATCGCAAAACATTTTCAAGCATGGAAAATCCTCGACGTACAAGACAAAAATACCGTGGCATCACGTGATGTGATCTTCTACGAACGACTGACGCTGCAGCATTACCTGGACAACGTCGCCAACACAGACGACCCCACCGACGGTGTCGCAGGCCTTCGCTCCTTCGCCGACCGTGGTGCCGAGGCTGACGCAGCAGACGAAGACGTACCTGGAGCTTCGGAAGCTGCCGGACCACTCCCTTACTGTTCCGTACCTGTTCCACTCGACGAAGACAATCCTCTCGATAGCAACAACCTCGACACCCTTTACCACTTCGCTGACTTAGGTTACGTTACACCTCGCCCAGTCAACACGAATGTCTCAGAACGCATCGGTCCAAACTTCTTACCTGATCCAGAAGATGGTGACGAAGCAGCCTATTCCGGGAATGAAAATTCCCCTCGACACACACCCACGGGACTGCAAATCCTCGGCTTATGGGTCTCCGTCCAGCATCCGCCGCCGCCATCTCCGCGCGAGCCCTCGACTCTGTCACAGGCTCTGGGGGGGGAACATAAGGCGAAATGGAAGGAGGCGATGGAAAAGGAACTAAAAGCTCTGCAAGACCGAAATACATGGAAGCTGGTACCTGCAACGAACATCAACGGGAAGAACGTCCTCTCGGGAATATGGGTGTACCGCATCAAGACCAATGCGGACGGTTCCATCGAATGATTCAAGGCTCGCTGGGTCGTACGAGGATTCGATCAACGATACGGAACTGACTACACAGAAACATTCGCCCCAGTCTCCCGTCACACCTCCTTACGCATCCTACTCGCCGTCGCGGCCACGAAGAAACTACCACTGCGCCAGATCGACGCCGCAAACGCTTTCCTATACGCACCTGTGGACGCCGAGATCTTCGTCGAGCAGCCCCACGGATTCATCGACGACCCCACAAAAGTATGCCAGCTGATAAAATCCCTTTACGGGATCAAGCAAGCCCCGCGGCTCGGGCAGCAGCATCTTCACGGTCGCCTCGTCAGAATCGGATTCCTACAGCTGCCGCATGACCAAGGCATGTACCGACTGCAGAAGGGAAGAGAGTATATCCTACTCATCGTTTACGTCGACGACTTGCTCTACATCGGTTCCACTACCGACATCGCCACCTGGTTCGAAGGGGAGCTGAAAGGGGACTTGACACTCACGGTGTCCGACACAGTGACCCAGTACCTGGGTCTGAATGTCGTCGAAGACAACTCGGCGTTCTACCTATACGCTGGAAAGTACGCAGGTGTTGTCGCAAAGAAGTTCGGACTAACACCAACTACAGTCGCGACTCCCTACCGCTACTGGAACAACAACGACACCTCCGCAAAACTCCCCGCGAAGCAAATCCGGGAGTATCAGCAGAAGCTCGGCTGCCTACTATTCGCAGCAGTAACCTGCCGACCTGACCTATCCTACAGCGCAAGCCAGCTGGCGACGCATGTGAAGCAGCCAAAAGAAGAAGATCTCGAAGAACTAAACCGGGCACTACTCTACTTCGTCTCGACGCCGACGACCGGACTTACCTACAGCAAAGTAACAACACCATCCGTACAACTACTCGGATACGTCGACGCCGACCACGCGGGAGACTGGGAAAATCGACGATCGAGAACGGGCTACATCTACCAACTAGAACCTATCCGGACTATCTCCTGGCAGTCGAGCAAACAGGAACTAATCGCAGAATATATCGCCCTCTGTACTGCGACCAAGGAAGGACTCTACCTGCGAGAGTTGCTCGAGGAAGCGAAGATTGCGACCCTGCCCGTCTTCTCACTCCTCTGCGACAACCAATCTGCGATCAAAATCGCGAACAAGGACGGCTTCGCCAACCGAACCAAGCACATTGCCCTGCGGTACTTTTTCGTAAAAGATGAAATCACGAAGGGGAGACTTCAACTCAGTTACTGCCCTACAACAGAAATGGCCGCAGACTGCCTGACGAAGAAACTGGCGAAGGCAAAGTTCGATTACTGCATGCTGCTGACCGGGCAGACAAACGTCACCGGATCTGAACACGTCAGCACTCCAGAAACGAAGGGGAGTGTTGGAAATATCTCAAGGAATTAAGCGTTTCTGAAGTGTAACACCACACTCGAGGAAGATCGTAACGAGTACGCGAGTCAACGGAGGTTACACGAGGGGTTGGACAAAGAACACGAAAGGACTCGAAGGGTCGCAACCGGAGGTTGCGACTGACCGTTACAACTGCAAGAATGGTAACCGAAGCGACAATCGAGTCGCTGTGCGACTCGATAACCGCCATTCAACTGTATTCTACAACTGCTTGTTTTCAACTTTCTATATATTGCTGTATGCTTGTTCACTTTAATCAATCACTTGTTCTCATATACTAGTACAAGGGTTCAACTACCTCAACTTCCGCTGCACTACTCAAGTCTTTTACAACTGGGACTTAGTCTCTGGAAAGATCCTAAGGGCATTTCTCAGCCCAACAGTCAGGATCAGGGTTCTCTTTTGGAAAAAAACGTGTCTGAGGAATCAGATAAGGTTTGCGCATTTTGTCTGATGCACTTTTCACTATCAGAGAAGTAGGAAAAAGTTGTCTGATTTTTCGGAGAAATCTAGAACGAATGTCTGAAAAGTCAGAGAAACGTATTTGCATAGTCTGTTCTGTTTGCATAAGATGATGAGACTTGCAGCACTTCGAAAAATTAGCGGTTGCGGGTTACAAACGAGCATAACCGCTAAGCGTCCATGGGACTCTGCTAGGATTTTTGGCCGTCTGAAAATCAGACTTGGCTTTGAACTTTCATCTGACCGTCATACGAAGACTTAGGGCGTGTCCAGCGAGTTTATTTTGCCCTAACACACACTTTTTACGTCTTATGTACATGCTCCGAAAAATGTTACGGGGAATGTAGATGTCGCGAGGTTCACCTTTCGACCACAGAGAGCATGTTTGCTTCGGCCTTGTGTCCAGCCTTTGACACGACAAATGCTCTGCGCAGCGAAAACCAAAAGATCTTGGCGAAAGAAATGGAGTTACGGTAGTAGGAGGCCTCGCTGTTTTTGCCACGGCATTGACGAATCTGCCCGAATATGACGAAGTCGTGTATTTACTTTTCGTCAGCCATTATTTGTCATTTCTGGCGGGAGTTCATTTCGGGCACGATTTCCAGCCGATTTCGAAACGTGCGCAACAGGACAGCTGGCACGCTTCGAGAGCGTCCGCTAAAAACGCACACTTTTTGAGCGGGTCCTAAGGGCGATGAGACTCACGTGACATGTCACGTGCAGGTAGCCCTCTCTTTTGGCCCCGCCATTTCAGGGTTTGCCCCTGCCCCCATGTGGTATGGGGAGGAATGTCTCTGATGTGGGGGGGGGGGGACTTAGCCGATATTTTTGGGGTGCGAGGGGTGTGGGTGTGGGTGGGGAGGAATGTCTCTGGTGTGGGGAACTTAGCCGATTTTTTTGGGGTGCGAGGGGTGTGGGGAGGAAGGAATGTCTCTGGTGTGGGGAACTTAGCCGGTTTTTTTTGTATGCGAGGGGTGTGGGGAGGAATGTCTCTGGTGTGGGGGACTTAGTCGAAATCTTTGGGGTGTGAGGGGTGTGTGTGAAGCCGGTACACATGTATGTCTCTGTTTCAGAGAAAATCGATTCACTTGTCTAAAAATCAGAGAAATTGGTACACCTAGTATGAGAAATTCAGTGAAATCTTAAAAGCTTGTCTAGGCCAATAAGAGTTTTTTAAAACCGTTGTCTGAAAAATCAGAGAAACCCCTAAAAACCAGTCTGAATATCAGACACTCAGACAAAAAAAGTCTGCTATTTAGGACCCTGGTCAGGATCTATACTTGGTGGAACTAAGATGAGACTTGTATTGGAAATGCCCGAAATGAGAAGGATAATACCGTATCTACCTGGATACACGCCCCTAGGGGCGTTCAGGGCGAATAGGGTGTTGAAAGGGCGTTTAGGAGCTAAGCTAGGTAGCCATGAGAAACGGTCAAGAGGTTAAGATAGCGGGGAAGAGTTACGAGAGAAAAGGGAACAATTAGGTAGGAAGAGAGTGTCAACTTATACATATTAGCTATGTAGAAGTTATAGGCTAGATTGAGGTATGCTTCTAGTGAGTACAACCAACTAGTATTTGTTCTAGGTTTCCACTTCTAGTCCATCATTCAGTTCTCACTTTAACATGGTATCACGCGTAGGTTAGAATCCCCCACCTACCGCTTCCGCGCGTACCCTAGCTAGGCCCCGCCCCCCCCCCCCCCCCACCTGGGGCCCCGTCACACCTCCTAGTCCCGTCGCGCCTCCTAGCCCCGTCGCGCCCCTCCTGGGCCCCGTCGCGCCCCCCTAGCCCCATCGCGCCCCTCCTGGGCCCCGTCGCGCCCCCTAGCCCAATCGCGCCCCTCCTGGGCCCCGTCGCCCCCCCCTAGCCCCGTCGCGCCCCTACTGGGCCCCGTTGCGCCCCTCCTGGGCCCCGTCGCGCCCCCTAGCCCCGTCGCGCCCCTCCTGGGCCCCGTCGCGCCCCCTAGCCCAGTCGCGCCCCTCCTGGGCCCCGTCGCGCCCCCCCCTAGCCCCGTCGCGCACCCTTCTAGGCCCCGTCGCGCCCCTCCTGGGCTCCGTCACGCCTCCTAGCCCCGTCGCGCCCCTCCTGGGCCCCGTTTTGCCTCCTAGCCCCGTCGCGTCTCCTAGCCCCGTAGCGCCCCTCCAGGGCCCCGTCGCGCCCCCTAGCGCCCCTCCTGGGCCCCGTCACGCCTCCTAGCCCTGTCGCGCCCCTCCTGGGCCCCGTCGCGCCCTGCCTGGCCCCGTCGCGCCCACTCGGCCCCGTCGCGCCCTACCTGGCCCCGTTGCGCCCGCCTGGCCCCGTCGCGTCCACTCGGCCCCGTCGCGCCCTGCCTGGCCCTGTGCGCCCGCCTGGCCCCGTCGCACCCCGCCTAGCCCCGTCGCGCCCTGCCTGGCCCCGTCGCGCCTGCCTGGCCCCTCCGCGCCTGCTTGGCCCTGCCGCGCCTGCCTGGCCCCGCCGCGCCTGCCTGCCCCCCGCCGCGCCTCCCTGGCCCCACTGCGCCTCCCTAGCCCCGCCGCACCTGCCTGGCCCCGCCACGCCTCCCTGGCCCCGCCGCACCTGCCTAGCCCCGCCGCGCCTGTCTGGCTCCGTCGCGCCTGCCTAGCCCCTCCGCGCGTGCCTGGCCCTGCCGCGCCCGCCTGGCCCCGCCGCGCCTGCCTGGCCCCGCCGCGCCTGCCTGGCTCTGCCGCGCCTGCCTGACCCCGCCGCGCCTGCCTGGCAACGCCGCGCCTGCCTGGCCCGCCGCACCTGCCTGGCCCCTCCGCACCAGCCTGGCCCCGCCGCGCCTGCCTGGCCCCGTCGCGTCTGCCTGGCCCCGCCGCGTCTGTCTGGCCTCTCCCTCTGCCCTCCCGGCCCATCTTCGTGCCTGCTCGTCCTGCCGTGCCGCCTCGGGTTCCGTCTACTCTGCTCGCCGGTGCTGGGGCGCCTCGCGGCCGCCGTGCTGGAGAGTGCTGTTGCCGTGTCCCTGCGTCGCTGTGTTCCTGTGGAGCTGTGCCGCTGACTCTGCACGATGGCTGACTTCGTGCTCCGACTGGACGCCGAGGGCCATGCGGTTGACTTCGCCGCCTGGCCCTCCGATCTCCGCCGCCACCTTACAGGTCAGCGCCAGGATGGCCACTCTTTGGTTGTCCATGTCGATGGCTTGCTCCCCCGCCCCCCCGCACCTGCTCCCCTCCCTGCTGACCCCTCCTCTGATGCCCGTGAGACCTTCTCTACTGCTGCGCTTGCCCGTGCGGTCTGGGACTCCCGCGATGCAGTCGCTCAGGCTGCTATTAGCCACGCCCTCCCTGTGTCTGAGCGCTCGCGCTTTGCTACTATTGAGACGGCCAAAGCTTACTTAGACGCCGTTATTGCTCGCTATTCCACACCCGCGTCTGCTTCTGCTGGCCGCCTGCTCTTCCATATGCTTTCCCAGACCTTGCAGCCTTCCCTACCGTCGCAGACTTTGCCACTCACCTGCGTGCCCTAGAGACCCGCTATCGCACTGCCAGCACTGCTGCCCAACTCACTGCGCTCCCCCCCCCTTTCTGCATGATGCTCTACTTTATCGCCATGCGCCTGCCAGACCGCCTCGCTAGTGCTCGCGATCACTTCCTTAGCCAGCACCCACGTGACCTCACCCTCACCGCCTTTGTCGATACCCTCACCGAGATCGAGACTCGCCAGCGCACTATCGCTCAGTCGAGCGGTGCGCCGGCAGTCTCTATCTTTCACGGTTGTGCCCCCTCCCAGTGCACGTTCACTGACGTTTTGGCTGCGGTCGCCACGGCGACCCCTCTCACCGAGACGGCTGCTGCGGTCCACCCGCAGCAGCGCTCGCGCCGCGGTGGCCGTGGTCGCCAGGGAGGTAGGGGTGGTGGCGCAGATGGTGGTGGTGGTGGTGGTGACGGTAGTCCGCCTACGGGGACTACCACTGGTGGGCAGGAGCAGCAGCCCCAGCCGCAGCAGGAGCAGCCCCAGCCGCAGCCGCCGCCCCAGCAGCAGCCGCCGTCCCAGCAGCAGTCGCCGCAGCAGTGGGCCCGTCTCCCGGCTGGCTGGCCCGGCACCTCCGGAGGTAGTGGCCGTGGTGGTGGCCCGCGCAGCTTGGTGTCTACCGGCGGCTCCGGTGCTGTCACCTGCCAGTACCAGCTTCAGACCAGGCCTCTTCGCGGCACTCTGTGCCGCTGCCCGCACCCGACCGCCCGTTGTTTCCGCCGCCTCGACGATCTCTTTCGTCGTCGCTTTGGCCCGGCCCCGGACCTCCCCGACTGGCACAGCCTGCTCCGCCAGGGCGTGCCGATCTTTGAGTTAGACATGGATCAGATAGGTGCTGCTTTGCATGCTTTGTATTCTGACGCTTCTGGTGTTGCTGGATCTTATTACCCTGTGTACTCTAGTTTAGGTGTTGCACCATTGTGTAGCTTAGCTTCCCCTGCTGCGTAAGGCGTAGGACTGCCTAGCTTGCCTAGCCTAGTCTCTGCACCGGCTCCGTCCCCGGCCTCCGCCACTGCGTCGCTGTCCTTCACTCTCGACTCCAGTGCTTCTGCCTGCTTCTTCCGCGACCGTTCCATGCTCACGTCGCTTCCTGTGCCTTTTGTTGTCTCTCTCGCTGACCCCTCTGCAGGTCCTGTCGTCGCTTGCAGTTCTACGTCCCTTCCCTGTCCAGCAGTTTCCTCGGGCTCCCTTATAGGCCTCCACGTTCCCTCGTTCTCGA